TTAAAAACAAGAGGTAAAAAGAAAGGGAAAAATTGAAATGATACAATGACCCAGTGAATGAACTTTTCTTTTCTTTGTATTTGAGCACATTTTGACTCTATTTCAGTATTTTATCTTGTTTTGAACAACTTCTTTCACATCCCTCATTTTGATCTCCCCATATTTGCCCATCTCTACCTCGCAACGGTTATTGTAATCAAACGATCAGATGGTTTGACCCTTCTGATGTCTCCCCATTTGTAGAACTTAACCCTGAACACTGGTCTAATCTAAAACTTTGATTTTCCTTCAATGAGGTCATTCTATTTTCTATTATTGTGTTTTTGAATGTACTGTCTGTGACGCAGAAAATAAAATCCTTCTCTATTGTCAGCTTTCCAGCAAACACCTAAAGGTTTTTAATAAAAACTAATAAAAATTTGAATCTATTCAATTAAACAGAAAATAAAATAAAATAAGCCACATCTATGTGCTGATGTCCTTTCAATGACAAGAAATGTTAAACTTTTGACAAACATAATTACTGAAGAGCAGCACTCATGCTTAAGAAGATTTTAGCACAATAGATGTTTGTTTTTTTGGAAATACATAATTCTGACTTTTTACCACTCATATTTGGATAATACAAGAGACTGATGCCACAGATAGAACCCAACCAGTGGTTGTTTGAAATACCTTCTGCTTCTTTAGTTTTGCTATAAAGCTCTCAGATAACCCTATTTTCTGTATTTTTGTTCCATCAGGTTTTTTGACACCAGTCTATACTTCATAAATTTGCTTCAATTATACTTGAATCCATTCACTGGATTTATTGGAATATTTCTCCACAAAGAGAGAGTATATTTTTGATGTTTTGTAACCATTTAACTTTTCAGTAAATACTTCATATCAGCGCATTTAAAGAAAATCCTATCAGGATCACTAAACTTTATTCAAGGTTCATCAGATTTACTGTAACGGACATGAGGTGTGATCTCAAAAAAATCTAAATTCTAAAGATAAGATAAAGATTAAGGATGCAAACAATCAAACAACCGTGTTAATTCTGTTTTATATTTGTTTAGATGTTAGGTAATTAAAAAGAGAAATGTTCACACATTATTTGGAGCCATTCAGATGAAGCCCTCCTTGAAAATAACAGTAAGTTTTACGAAAGGTTGAAACTGAGGAATCAAGTGTTTGTTGAGAAGTTATTTATCTTTATAGGACAACTGTAAAGATAATTGCAAATATCTCCTTTGCTCAAAACAGCGATTCCTTAGGATGTACCTCCACTGTCGGAGGAAGGCTAGGAGATTACGCCATGTTGGAGCAAGTAGGGCCTGTCACCCATATGTGTGGAATATGTGTATGTGCGTGCAGAGGTGGAGGGCCTGGGATGCACACGTATTAAGAAACGATTAGTGGAGATTAAAGCCCTGCTACAGAGTGTGCTTGCACAACTTTGAACCAAAAGAAGGACCCAGCCCCTCCTTGATCAGCCTGCAGTGCGCCTCCACTACCTTGTGGTGCTGCATTACTGAAGTCATAGCTGTAGCTTTGTCCATCAATTAAAAAGGATCAGTGTTGGTGGCTCCCATCTTCCCATGGATCTTCCACTACTTAACATGCCAAAGTCCTTTAGTATTCAGTAATTTATCCTTTGACTTTTCCTTTTAAAAATGTGTTAATATCTAAATGCACACATACAACATAAAGCTGCCCCATCTTATTCGAGAGGTTTTGTCCCACTCTGTGGTAGCGAGGATGTTTTCATCTGACGGAAAACAATCTTGTTGGGCTTTAATCTGGAGAAAAAGCGGGATGCACACTATGACGCCTGATAGATTAGGGGCTGTATGCTTCTCTCTCTCTGTTCTGCTCTGCAACAGAAGGGCCCTGCTAGCAAATCCCAGGCTTTAAAGCAGAGGAGGTTCAGGCAGCTTATGATGTAATCAAGGCCCTGTCTGTCACTGCAGGGAAGGTGGGGGTGGAGAGGAAAGGAGAGTGGAGGTTATTGGGTTTTGTGCTATGAGTATCACTCTAGCTCAAACTGTGAAGAAATGTGGCACAATTTGAAAAATGATACATTTAGATTAAATATACTAAAAAGTGGCTAAGAAAGGTTTAGAACGTAAGGACCTCAAAAACCGTTAGATTCTGATCGATTTAAATTAGCCTAATGAATGTATATCTAAAAGAAAAAAATAATTTTCAATATATCCAGTTATGAGAAGAAGAATTCAGTATATGGCTATGACATTACAGGTCGTTTCCAGTTATTTCCAATGTATCCCCTGTACCCTTGGGTATCCAATGATTCATTGCAAGTCCAAGTAAGCTGTCTGCTCCGTGCTCAGAGGAAAAAGTGCAGTTTAATATAAAACGTCTGTAATTAATGAAACATTTTTTTTTTAACTGGTTACTGAGTCAGATATGGGGCGAATAATGTTTGGTTTATTGAAAGGTTTTATCCGTCCATGCAAATGAGTTTGGCTGACATTTAAGCACAGATTCTAAAATCTCCAAAGTGTTGGGGCTATAAAACTAATATCTGTGATGAAGGTACTGCTGCAGAGGCTCCTTGAAAATGTAATTAGCCCGCAGAACAGTAGTGAGAAGTTCGGCATCCATCGTTTTCCTGCTTTGTGTGTCCACTATCATGGTTACTAGGCGACAGAACGTACGCTGGGTGAGGGAAGTTGAAAGTCAGAGAAGGCTAGACATGTTTGAATACATAGCCAAGCTCTTCTGGCCTCCTTTTTTTCACAGACCTCGAAGGACCCCAGCCCAGGTAGACCGGGTCCTTGGAAGTCGGAGCCACTGAAATTGAACACACCATGCTGGTTTAGCGTTGATGATGTCACCAGTGCGACATAAATCAGGAAAGTAAACAATGGAGAGCAACATGTAAGAAAGCCGGGGCATAGTAAGTATGCTCTATTGCTTTTTTCTTTTTTCCCTCTGAATCACTCTCACCAGTCCTACGCCATGTTTAATAAATGTAAGTAGAGTTGTTTTAACTTGCTGGATCAGAAGCAATTGGTGTGTTGACGTCCATATGTTGCCCTCAGTGGTAACGTATGTGCTGAGTTTGAATCCAGCAGCTGCGTTCTCTGAAGGCAAGATGCGTCGATCGATTACATCATAGTGCCGCGCCGTGGCCTGTCTGGATTGGAAGACTCCTCTTCATGTAGCCGATAAATGCAGCTTCCTTTTTGCCCATTTTGAAGGACATGTCCAGTGTACTGTATCTCCCGTAGCCTTGGGTATCCCATGATTCATTGCAACTCCAAGCAAGCCAGCTGCTCCCTGCTCAGAGGAAACAGGTAAATGGTGATGAACATTGGTGAAACTTTAAGTGCAGTTTAATATAATGTGTATAGGAATAGTTCCATCTGAAATGAATGGAAATGGTTTTAAATGGTTATTTAGTGAGATATGTGGCGGACAATGTTTGTTTTATTGAAAGGTTGTATTTGTCCCTTTGCAAATGGGTTTGGCTGGAATTTAAGCACATATTCTAATATTTCTGCAGTGTTAGGGCTACAGTCTGATATCTGGAACAACGGCACAGCTGCTGAAGCTCCTCGAAAATGTAATTAGCACACAGAACCATACTGAGAAGTTTCGGTATCCATTCTTTGCCTTCTTTGTGTTTCAACTTTCACGGTTACTAGGCGACAGAACGTACGCTGAGTGAGGGAAGGTGACAGTCGGAGAAGGCTTGTCATGTTTGAATACATAACCAAACTCTTCCAGACTCCTTATTTTCAAGGTCCTCGAATGATCCAGCCTGGTCGACTGGGTCCTTGGATGATGCAGCCAATTGAATACACCCATGCTGATTTTGAATTCTGCAGCTGTGTACACCAAAGGCCAAATTAGTCAGCCTATAACTATAATGGTGCGGCGCCAAGGCCTGTTCGGATGGGAAGACTCCTCGTAATGCAGCCGACAAGTGAAGCCTTCTTTTTGCCTGTTTTCAAGGACAGTGTATCCCCTGAATCCTTTGGTATCCCATGATTCATTGCAAATCTAAGAAAGCCGGCTGCTGCGTCATCAGAGGAAAAAGGTAAATGGAGCTGAAAAATTGTGAATATTTTAAGTACAGTTTAATGTAATACAAGTATGTGAATAATTCTGATATAAACGAATATAGTTCATTTGAAATGGTTATTGAGTCAGATATGTAGTGGGTAATGTTTGGTTTATTGAAAGTAATGTAATTTGCTGACTTTGTGTTTCAACTATCACAGTAGCTAGGCAACAGCACATACGCTGAGTGAGCGGCGGAGGCTGGAGCTGTTTGAATCCATCAGCCAAATTCTTCCAGCCTCCTTATTTTCATGGCCCTCGAAGAACCCAGTCCAGGTAGACTGGGTCCTCTGAGGACACAGCCTCTGAATTCGAGCACATCTATAAATTAGCGGGTCGACCCGGGTCTAATGTTCCCATTGTATGGCGATCTAAGTCGTCTGAAGGCGCTTTTAACCCAGGTCGACATGGGTCAGTCAGATGTTCCCACTGTGACTAAAAGCCTCTTTATACTGGGTTTAAATGGCTTTTTTTTGGCCAGTGGAAAAGGGGTATTAGTGAAACAAAATTAAGCGCTGAAGTGGTCTAGTCAAAGTCTGGATAGATATGCAGTGTGGCATTATAAAAAAAAAAATGGCATCCTGTACTGCAAATTCTCCCATGTGGTAAAAACAATCTAGAGGGAAAAGTGGGTCAAGGTTCTGCTACTCTGATGTGAGACATAATCCTCTGATGCCAGTTTTACCACCAATGGATACTTTTTAAACATATATTTTCACTTTTTTTGCACAAGGTTATGAAGTTTGATCACAGCTTAGCTTCACAGCTCTGGAAATACAGAAATACCAGCAGACGTCCTAAAATGCTGACTAAACCCAAAGATATCGTACACCGCTACCATATCTCAGATATGTAATATTAAGAATAAAGTGGGAATAATATAAAACAGGACAAGTTGCAGATAAACATTTTACCTGTTTTTGTTTTATTATACAAGTTTGGTGGGAATCAAAGTGAGTTACAGCTACTTCAGAAATTTTTCATTCTGGAGACAATTTTTATTCATTCATTTTTGCTGCACAAAATGTTAATCTGCATTACAAATGTTGTAACATTTAATCCATATGTGACTTCCATCAATGAGTGAAGGGACTCTGATCAAGATCAAAATAATTCATGTTAAAAATAGAATAGTAAAGGGCACGCTTCCAAGTTCAGCCCTATAAATAAAAAACAAGACGGCTTTATTAATCCAGCAGTAAACAACACTGTGATGCATATCCTGAGACTGCGAGTTTTGGCATGTATATGACAAAAAAAAAAAGAAAAAAAAAAGAGGAAGCAGCAAGCACAAGATAAGACAGCATAATTCAATTTAGTTTTATCTTATGTGAAATATGGGAGTGTCTGCAGCAGTGATAATATTCGAGAACAGGAGTGACTGCTGATTGTGGCACCACATTCTAAAAAAAAAAAAAATCATCCAACAGCGTCAGATAGTATGTACATCATCCCAAAATTGGTCACAATAATGTGATAATGTGGTGGCTTTCCTTCCAGAATTAATTTTTTTTGGTACGTCTTGGTTTAAAGTGAGGGTTAATTTTAAGGAAATAAATACATAACACCCAACATCACAGAGCTTAAAAATAAGAAGATAAATGAAATTCACCAACAAAAGCAATATTTTTACATAGTAAACACGATGCATCAATAATCACTTCCCCTGCAGTGGTACATTTAAAAATATTTTCCATATTGTACAATGGGTCGTCTTGGAAAAAAAGAAAAGAAAAAAAAAAACAGTAGAGAAACAAATCTCCAAGATGGCTGTTCAGTGTTTTCTACTCTGTCCAAAGTCCTTAGTGTCACTGCTCCAATGTCACAACCTCCACCGCCTGGCCGTCAAGGGTGACCGTGTTGTCTATGCGCGTGGCCACGGGCGCCATTGCAACCTGAACAGGCCGGTTGCCCTGGGCGAGGCTGGTCACTACAGTCTGGTACATGCTGACTGGTATCTGGACCAATCCTGATGGGAAAGACACAGAAGCATTACCAAACAGTAGATTTGCATTATATTCTGTGTAAAAGAGTTTCTACATATTTTTATGCCACAATTTCTCAGACTAAAATTCAGAGTTATTAGCAAAAAAATAAAATAAAATAATTAACCTCAATATATATTAGATAATTTCACAGTAGCCAGACTTTAAACACAGAGGCTATCATAACTACAGACTCTCAGGATGAAAGAATAAATTGCTTAGATGAATAGAAACATGTATTCAATAGTGTATAGATGAATTAATGGGCCAATACATCAAAGGATGGATAGACGCATAGAGGAAAGTAGGACTGGATTAACAGGCCTATGTGTTGAGAAATGGAAAAGAGGAGGGGCATATCGATTAAAAGAATGAAGGAATGGATAGATGTGCAGACTAATTTAAAATGAAAGCGTAATGGGTCATTGAGAGGATGGATGGGTGAATAGGTAAAGTATACAATAATGGGATAGGGAATAAAGTTAGGAAATATTCATCTCTTCTGCCGTACTTATGCAGACCTGGAAACTATTAAAACTAAATTCCCAACTCATCCAGACTGTGCAGGAACCGTTTTTGTTCACTTATAGGGCAGAGTATCAATAGGACGTCATCAGCTCGCTTCCCCCATTCCCAGCTGTTTGAGTGTTGGAGTCTCTGCCTAGAGGGATTATTGCTGCGGCCGTGTGGCTCTTTTGCTCCTCCCTGCAAGCTGTCACTGTGTCACAAGAAGGCATGAATATGAGTTCAGGAGATGGCAGCGGCTTGGGCTAGCTCTTATCACAGCAACTGTAGACCCAGGACATTGCCTTTATTCATTTTATTATGATCCACCAAAATAATCCTCAGAGACCATGGAACCTCAATTATTTAGTACCCTGTGGGGTCTAGTGCTACACCTTGAAAGGCAGCATAAACTTAGAAAGAAACTGGTAATGGGTCTGGAAAACAGAGGAGAGTTTAGCTCATCATCATGATAAAAAATATTCTCATTTCAACACTACAGGACCTAGATGGTTATGATAGAGCCAGGACATGTATACTATNTCTTTTAACAGTCCAGGGATTCTTTGTTTATTGCATTTCTCTTCATGACAAAGCAATTAGCACCATTACTCTGATAGAAGGTACCCCTGTCCCAGTGTCTGTGTGCTACTTTTTGCCCTCCCAACCATGAGCTGATTATGGCAGACTGGGTTAGGTTCTGACCAGTTTCTCCCTGAATGGTTCCAATCTATTGTGACCACACACTTGTTCAGGAGAGGGATTGCTGCAAAGCAAACGGCTGAATGTAGTTGACTGAGCTTGTTTAGCTTTCACCAATTATCATATTATCAAGTGACACTTTTCTTTATCTAAAGTCTAAATGATTTAGAATGTGCATCTGTCAATATGTCAGGATGGCAGTAAAATCCATGAAATGTTTTATGAAATAATGAAGTATAATTAAGTACTAATATATTTAATTAAATAGGCAGCGAGTTAAACTCAAAACACACTTCCTGATGCAAAGAGAAACAAACGCTGGTTCTTTTTCATGTGTTATCCACTTTAGTTTGTTTGTCCATCACTGTGCAGAAAATGTGTATATAATGAGGTGGACTGGTGCTAATGTGCATAAACTGTATACAGAAAAACAAGAACACCTCTGTGTGCTGACAGCTGGTGAAGCGATTAGACCGAGGATTGATAATGGAGTGGATCAAGCGTTGTAGGAGGGATCTATCTATTCATGGCTCTGAAGTAGTCTGCTGTTCATATAGCTCTGATTGGATAATTGTGCAAATAAGAAAAATGAAAACTTGCAAAAAGTAGTTTGTGTGTGTGAGACTGATGCTACAGATTAAAAACTCCCTCCGGGTTTTGTAACCATATAACCCTCCCATGTGGTTATGTAGGTGACAACACACATCTTTTTGCTCCTTTTACCTCAGCATCCTTTCTTTTAATTATATTACCTACTAACCACATGCTTACTGATAGAAGGCTGCTGGATCCCTGTAATAACTGCAGCAACGTATCAAGTTTGGGTTGTGTAGCTACAAGGTGCACACAGATAAAACCCACCATCTGTTAAATCAGTGCAGAGTAGATTAGAACTGAGCGTCACTAGTGTGAAGCTTACACGTAGTAAAGCTAATTGGAGATGCCATATACGGAACCTTTCTACACTTCTTCATATTTTGACCCCAAAAGTCTTTTCTCTGTAGAAATGTATATGATAGACCAACAATAATTGCATGGCTGTGAAGTGGAAATAAAATAATGTATGACAAATAGCTTGCATTTAGATTCATCTCCCTTTCATCAGGTACCCCAAAATAAGACAAATTTGAGGAGCTAATTGCATTTAAATGTCCTCTGATTAATAATTTGCGTGTAGTTAAATATCAGAGTAAATGATACAGGTCTGTTTGGGCCTTGGAGGGGTTCAGGCATCAAAGAAACACACCCAACAGGCCTTAATGCAGGATTAGGTTATAAACCAGTTTACTAATCATAAAAAATCTCCCAGATCACTATTTAATCTATTATTCTAAAATGGAAATAACATGGAGCACCTCAAATAATTTAAATGCATTGCTGTCCATGATCTCTACTCAGACTATGGCTGTGTCCAAATGTCAAATAACAAAGATGGCGCAGGCACTATGCAGGGAGGCGGAGTTATGTGACCAATGAGGAGTGAAAAGTAGTGATCATCTGTCCGAACTGTCAGTTCATTATAAAGTCTACTATATTGTCCTATATAAAGATTGAAGGATCTAGGGATTAGGGCGGACATTCGGACATAACCTAAGTTAATCTCGCCTTTAGAAACAGGATGGCAGCTTCATATGAAGGATAGACTGATACCTGTAGCATCTTGGACTCCAGCTAGAGCCCCAACAGCAGCTGCCGTCTCTGCCAGGACGATCTGCCCCCCTCCTTGAAGAGTAGCCTCTGCCAGTGTCGCAACAGCATGGGCCGCTGCTTCACTGCAACACAATAATACATAATTGTAAACTGATTATTTGGGCTTTATTGCACAAGCAATAGAGGTGGATGGAGAACCTAGGCCTCTAGATGATATCTTCTGGCAAAAAGCCTAAAAGCTCTGACTTGCACACACAGAAGGGTTATTAGAGATGTGAGGTGAGGAGGTAGGAGTGTATGAGCTGTAAGAGGCTTTACTTGTCTGGACTTACAGAGAATCTGTCACATCTCCCCAAAGGCCAGGTGCTACAGCTTTACCAGAGCAGTTTTATTAACCAGATCGACTCGGTGGAATTATCACCAGCTTATTACCACTGCAGCTTCCACATCAACTCATGGAAGCGATTGCATCTTAGCTAACAATCATATTTGGGACAGAAACAAAAGATAAGCAGAAAGGAAGATGAGCTGCATGGGTAGTTGGGTGTAAAACACAACAGCCGTCTGGAGTTGAAAAAAAAAAAAAAAAAAAGACAAAATGTTCCATAGCAGAGAAGGGAAGCAGCTCAGCACGAGTAAACAGCAGCAGGAGAGGATGCAGGACTCAGGAGGGTGCAGCTAACAAGCCCCGATGGGAGACACTCATTTATTCCTGAAACGATTGCCATGACAGTGCTGCAGTGAAGAGTAAGCAAACATCGCATGGTTTCAATGAGCAGACCTGATGAATTCAGCAAGTTTTCAAAAATACAATAAAGCATCTTTAAAAAAGGAAAATCAAAGCAGTTTTTATTTACCACATATTTAAATATATTTAGTGCTTAAATAACCTACAGTTCACAATTAGGTTATTAATTAGCTTTTGAAATAATCAGCAGTGAAACCCAGTGAGCCGCAGCAGCATGCACCATTTTAATTCTAGATAAAAAAAAAAATGATATATATATATATATATATATATATATTTCAATGCTATTAATGTGTTAAAGTGGACTCCTCCAGGGTGAAAACTGCAGGATTTCAAAGTAATGCATCTGTGACAATAGATAAAAACAAATGGCTGATTTTAACCATCGTTGTTAAGGTAAATACAATTAAGGATAAATTGTATATATAATAAGAATATTGCAATAATGAAAATGTAAAAATAGTTATTTATTAAAGAAGTAACATATGAAGAATGAATATATAGTAGCGTAGGGGTTGGGGGAGATGAAGTCTCTCTGTTCCTCTCTTTAGACTTATAATTCAGGAAGTATAATCTGGGTGTGCTTAATCTAAATTGTTTAATAATTCTATGTATGACTACTAGTTCTTTAATTAAAATGCCTTACATATTCTGTTAGTAGCAGTAAAAAAACAAAACAAAATGTTTTTTGTCTAAACATTGCTTTAATATGTTGCTCTATAAATGCAGAAATGCTTCAGTGAGAACCTTAATGTGGACATTAGCCCCTCAGATCCCACCCCTGTTGGCTTACCTGTTGAGAGCCATAGTAACGGTGGCTCCAGGCTGCATTTCCTGACTAGCAGCAACAGCAGCTTCAGCCAGCGATGCTACCGCCTGCGTGGCCTCTGATGCTTGAGTTGTTTGGATAGTCATTTCTCCACCTTGAAGTGTAGCCCAGTTCTGCACCACCTTGAAAAGTTGTAGTTTCAGTCGAAAAAAAAACAAGGCTGCCGTGTCCTAACTTTATCTGCAAATCCTCCGTCACTATGCATGTCTCTGATTTCAGTTCTAGAGATATCAACTCGGAGTAATGTTACCTCGCCATCAGTTGAGTAGTTGACCTGTGCCACAGTAACACCGGGGAGTTCTGAAGCATCAGCCAGGGTTGCAACTGTGTGTCCGGTGCCAACCTGAACAAATCAGTGAAGATTTCCTGGATTATTCTTAAAAAAAAAACAAAAAAACAAACAAAACATGCAGCTGATCAAAGATCTGCTGAACGCACAACAGCATGCACACCTGGATAAGTGAGACGGTTCCGTCAGGATTGTTGACGGTCTGTACGACGGTCTGTGATGGCACGAGGTGAGCAATGCTCTGGGCTGTGGTCAGATGGTGCTGGGCAGTGGCTGTAGTCGTTATCTGCTGGTCCTCGAACGCATACAACAGATCCTCACGATTGTGCTGTTTGTAGCAGTTCTTCACTATGGTCCGTAACGCTTGCGTCCAGGACACCTGAGGAAGCACAAAGGCGTTTTTATGCTAGTTGGGGAAAATTGGAAGGATGGATGAAGAACTCTGTACGAAGGTTGCATGAAGAACTCTGAATAAATGAAATACGTTTCAACATTTACAGAGTTTTTAGCCCATTTTAAAACCGGAAATATAAATGAGTTAAATGGATGGATGACAGGTAAATAAATAAATATTCAAACTGCTAAATTCAATTATTACGACTTTTAGGCAAAGGAATGAGGAAAAGAGGTCACATTTTTCCTTAATTATGTGACCTGCAGTGGAACCTTTTAAAACCAATCAACATTGGAAAACCCTAAACGGGTAATTATTCTCACAGAAACAATAGTAACTGCTTCCCTGCTTGTGGTTTAATAATCAAAAGTAATGACAACCTTAAAGCATTATCAGTCAAATGATTAATTGACAATGTGTCTCACTCTTTGTTTCTGCTCCTCTGTGCGGACATCACTGCGAACATTAGCCCAGGGGATGTCCTCAGGCCACCACGCAGGCTTGCAGCTCTCCTTCCCCCAGCCAGGTTTCCCTCTGCCTGTGGAGTACTTCAGCATCTCTGGGATGAAGGCTCGCAGCTGAGCCTAGAGCAAAACGCAAAACTAAATCTTTCAAGCCAAGAGACACAAATTGTAACACACAAACCCTTGAGAAGGGATCAGTGGAAGTGTATTGATTGAACCCACACTGCAAATAGAAATGGGGTTGCTAAAAAGAGAACATGTTCATTAGGAGAGCAATCTATGGCTGTGGCTCCAGTCTGACCTGTCAGACTGACACCACAAGAACCTACCGTGTTGCTCTAGCAGTAGCCTTTCCCAGTAAACGGGCAGCACACTTAACATGACTAAGCACTTTATTTGCAACACCTTTCAAACACACTTAATCTTAGTTCTCCCTTTGCCCCCTAAATTACAATCACAAATGTCAAAGTAGTCATTTTACATGAGCTTGGCATTGTTTTTACTCCTGGGTAGAAATCAACAGGAGTCAGACCCCTTTTACTCTGATACCACGGGATGAAATCTAAAACAACCAATAGCCTTTAAGCTTATTTGTTTAGCATGTGATACGAGCATGTGGTTAAAGTTGGTTCTAGAAAGGAATCCCTAAAAGAGGATCAATGCTACATGTTTTTACCTGCAGATTTTCATCAATAACAATAAACACATCACCTCTATCTTCAGCTTTATAATAATAAAACATAAATTTAAACTGTTGAGTTTGATTTCAAGTGATGGACCAAATGAAAGTAGTTCAATAATCGATTAATCTCTCGATTATTTTATTGATTCAGAAATTCATAACTAGATAGCCAAAGGTTCCTTAAAGCAGATTGTTTATGAAATTAAACCAGGTGAAACTAACACTTTTCCACTTGAGGGGTTCTGGGTAGAGAATAGTGACAGGCAAAAACATTTTTTTTATTATTCTAAAATGCAAAATTTTCATATATTTAATAGATTCAATCGATTACTTAAGTAGTTGGCGATTATTTCAATAATCGATTGTTTCAGCACTAATATACTCACAGAAATGGTGCACTCCAAGTTTAAGATTTATGTCTTTTCAGATCATTTAAAACACAAATCTTTTAAATAAATCTCACATGAGTCATATTAATTAATTTAATATAGCTTATTTAGAATGAATGTTTACTCATAATTAATACTGGTGACAGAATTTATAGCAAATACATAGTTTATTTGTTTGACTTGTATAATAATCATGTAAACCTTACGCAATTCAAACAATAAACTTAAATCGAATAAATACACTCATTTGTATTATTTTGGAGTAATCATACTTACAATACATCAACCTTCTTATTTTGAATTTCAAATAAATAAGCTTTATTATACAAATGAATATGGATTATGTAAGGTTTATTTGATAGATTTGTGTTGAAATTATCTAACAAAAAAAAATAAGTAACATATTTCTGTGCATGTAGCTTAATCTTTGCTGTGTCCCCACAGCATGAGGCTACTGCTGTCACCACCATCCATGTTTCACTGTGGAGACGGTGCGTTCAGGGCCGACAGTTTTCCACTAGAGTTAGCATTTTGCATACAGAACAAAAAAAGGATGTTTTCGACTCATTAGATAGCTTCTGTGGCTAATAGTTACAAAGAACAAATTAAGGGTTGTTACAGAAATTGGGTGAAAAATATTAACAATTACATTTTGCCTTTTGCTTGATGGTTTGAACAAGGTAACAGAGCATTTGTGCTCAAGAATATTTGATGTTTTTCTTTATATTATAATGTTTTCAACATGTTTTTTGTATCTTTGTAGGCTTCAAATACATGATGTGCATCTATTCCCTTTTAACAAGCATACAGTCTCAGTTACTGGCATGCTATGGAGGGGTTTTAGTGCCAGTGTCCTCAGTGTCCCGGTAATATGCACACATCACCAGGGGATTATATTGCACAATGAGGCACTGCAGCGTCTGCCTACCTTGACATCACGGGCTAAATTTGGTTCTAGGAGAAATAAATCCCAACCTCCTCCCTATTAGACCCCCTTTTCTAACTTGCAATCAGCGACCGGGAAACTGTTTTTCAGCGTATCGCATCAAGAGATATAGAAAAATGGACCTCACGAGAAAATGGAGGGTGGACGCTTAATTAGGAAACTACATCTGGTAGTTGGAATAATGGAGCTTCGCTTTGTTAAACAGGGGGATGCAGCTTGGATTATCCAAGGGCAGGGACTTAGCAGTAAAGGGATTCTTGCATTTCCACCTGTGGGTGATGCGGATGTTTGTGTGCACGGCCAGATGGCTTAATTAAAGTGGCTAGCTTGTTAAGTGGCATGTTGCCCTCATGCAGACCACCCCATCCCCCGCTTTCAATCTTAATCCCCAAAGCAGTGGACCAATCGGAGCTCAGGACGGCAGCTATATTGCCAGGTCCCTGAACCTGACAAGGCTGGGGGGTAATTACAGGCTCAGGGAAGACCTGGGATCACCTGCTACAGATGCTCCTTGTATGTGATAGAAGCTTATCTGTGTCAAACATATTGTAGCTATATGAAGATTATTGTATGGAGAAACTTCTGTCCTGTCCCCTAGACGCATCCTTCTTTTCAGAGACAGGACACATCACGTTTCTCACAGACGTATCTCTAAGAAAAGCCAAACCGTTCCACCTTTGACATGCCGAGTGAAGCAACAGGTTACTCCTGATAATCCCATCCTACAACCTCCAGAAAAACAAGAAGCGACTAACACCTGGCCTCTGAGGCTTTATCTGGCCCCAGGATTGGCTGGGACGCTCCCTGGACTGTTGACTGTCTCTGAGGGCCGCTAACGTGCCCTACTCTGACGATGATCCACACAGTGCGTCAGCAGCACGGGGATGGCAGCGTAAACAAGCCAAGCTCCCTCGGGTGAAAAAAAACTAATGCTGCCAGCGAAAGGCTTGCCAAGAGCAGACGATGCTGCACTTCCTTTCACTCTCTCATAAAGAGGAGGTTTTGCTCGACCTTAAGTGCTGCTAAGTCTTTCGGTGTTACTATCAAAGCTGACATAAGCAGACCTGACAACGGACAAGAGGAAAACTTTTTTCCTTAAAATGTTTTCTCTTCAAAATGTTACTTTGTCATGTAAATAATAAAGCATAAACTTATCTTGTCACCAATCTATTTTTACAGCCAAACATGTTTATTAGGACAAGGGGTGTGTGGGGTCTCACCTGGGTCATCTTATCCACAGAGACTGGGATGCCGTCAATGGTGAGAGGCGGCAGTTCTGAGGCCAGCTCTCCACCAGCAGGCGCGTGCTCAGCCAGGGCATTTTCTAGGTCCTCCAGCATCATGCTCTTATACTTTCTAACCTAGGGATCAGCAATATTAAAAGATGAACTGCGATGATTTTCAGATAGAAAAAATAAATATTTTCTTAACTCATATGACATAAATTGAGGAAAACATGCTGGATTATGAATTTATGTTTTTTGACTGTTACAATCTACTCACTACGTTCTCTAAAGGGGCAGCGCCGAACACTTTAAAAACCGGATTCGGTTTGGAGGGAGACACACAGAGCACTATGGCCTGTTGACCCACTCTGGTGGTGTACTCGTCCAGTGTTGCCCGCAGTTTCCTATAGAAACACATCATCTTTACCCCTTTTGTTCAATATAAAATGTCTATAAGTGCCGTTTGAAATGTTTAATGCTGCATTTTTAAGGTTGGAGAAACAGACCTGAGCAGACGGGTTTGCTGCCTTTTGCGGATAGAAGGATTTGACTCAAAGATGTGAGGTCTTTTTCGTTTCTTTCCTGTTGCAACCGCAGCAGCAGCAGCCATACCTACTGGACCTAGAAGCAAAAAAATTAAAACTTTGATTGCTACAAAAAGAGGCACTAAAAAAACCTTTTAACAACAGTCTGATTCATGCTTTTAAATTAGCATACAATCAGACATATATGGCTATGGGTACGAATTTAAAAGAAGTTGACAAAACAGAAGAGAAAAACAGCTTTAAGAAATTCTACTGTTCAGACTCTGATTTTTAAATTGGAAATACAAAGGGTGACTTTTATTGCACTTCAACTATTAACATGCAACCAGAAAAAAAAATACTGAAATAAGAGATGAGGATGGGTGGAGAGTCGAAATCTGGAATAAAAAAATGTCTAAACTCATCTAGAAAACAAATTAGTTCACTTTTACATATTTCAAGACTGTGAAACAATCATGTATACGGAACGTTTGCACCACCTGCTGGTAAATTGAGGGAATTACACTATAATTAAGCTGTATGAATGACTATTTCCTTGCTGGTGAGATGCAATCCCCTAAAGGTACTAACGGACAAGCAAATACACTCTATTAAATAAACACTTTCTTACAATAGTTCACTTTTATTAATATTGCACAGGAAAATACTTTTAAACCAACACATTTTCCCAAGCAAGTAAATATTTTTCCCACCTGCAGCAGCAAGGTGAGCAGTGACCTCATCTGTGCCGGCTGAATTGAGGATGTCTGTGTCATCGTATGGGTCATCGTCTGGAGAAGATGTCGAGTCTTCCTCTGCGCTCAACATAGCGGTGTCTGTGTAGGTGGTCACGTGTACCTACGGTAAATATATCAGATATTTCTTTAGTAAATTAAATATTAACAAAAGACGGATTATGTTGTGAACCAACAGAGGAAAATATTGTCTTTTTGTAAGTTAATAGCCAGAATATGAGTGGCGAAGCAAACCTGTTGACTGACAGCGCTCGCTTCGATGGTGGTCATGTGTTCTGTCGGGTTCACAGAGTGTTCCTCCATTTTTAGCCACCGACTCTACGATGCTAGATCCACAGTACAACTGAAGAAGGTTAGAGAGTTTTTGTTAGAGAACATTAACAATCCACAAAATGGTTTATAAAGTATCTCTGATATGAACTTTAGAAATTAATGGTCAGGGATTCTACAAATACAATTTCACAGAGTTTAAGTTATTGTTTAAAAGAAAATAGGTAAAAACATTAATCTAAATGTCTAGATCCTACAATAACTTGTTACTTGAAAGAAAAACTAAATGTAGTCTCTGTTTTAACTTACAGATATGTGAAACTCCATGTTTGCCACACTTAAGTTTTCTGTTTTGTGAAAACTGGTAGCTTTAGCTGAAAGAGTGACCCACTTAGAGCAGTAACGATACCAAAATAAAAATAAATAAATACATGAACAGTTTGCATTTAAGATAAAACAAACCATTTCCGTCTGTCAATATTCTCTATCCAGAACTCCTCAAGTGGAAAAGTTTTATTTTCACCTGGTTTGATTTCGTAAAAAGACTTCTTAAGGAACCCTTTGCTATCCAATTATTAATTGAAAAAAATAATCGACAGATTATTCGATTTGTGAAATAATTGTTACTTGCAGCCCTGGTCTAATTCCTGATATGTGATGCCAATTTTCTTAAAACAATGTATTTTTATTCTTCCTTTTAAATCTTCCAAAAATTGTGCAATGATAACAAATGTTACACAAGTTTTAATTTAAACAAAAAGAAACATTCATTAATGAATAAAAAAGCTGCATATTAGCTAAAAATATTGTCCAGCCGATATATCGATCTAACGGTAGTATGAATACTCTTTCAAGGTTGGCAGAAAAATAATGAAAAAACTTTCTTTGTCAGACTATTGTCTACGGGACAGTTAGACAAATGTGTTTATTTTCTACGTTATTTTATTCCAGAGTAAGGAGCTGCTCCAAACTCTCCAGGAGTGGACCATAATGATCGGCTAGATTTAAACAACCTCGCCTACTTAGCAGCAGAGTTATATTAACAAACCTTTCTATGACTCCTGCTGTATAATTCAAGCTGTTTACGTAATTTGGTTAATATGTAAATATAGATCAGAATCAATCATATTAGAGAATAAGAAATGAATTTGCTATTAGGGGACTATTCTAGGGATTAATGATGGATAATAAGCTATTTGGGTTAGGTCAGAAAATGCAGTTTGTAGACACTTAGGACTTAGTGGCAATTATTGATGTTTTTCTGATAGATTAAGATAAATGGGGTGTGACAAATAAGAAAACAGCAATATCTATGCAGCTAGCTAAAACAGGAATGCTTCTGTAACAGTTTGGAGATGAAGGAATTTTTTTAATGAAAAAATATTTAGTTATACAAAAGTTTTTATTTGTATTTCTGAGGCAAAAAAAATCCAACAAATCAAAGTTCTTACAAGGAGATCCAAGGAAAATCCTGGGTATTTTCTTATTATTACACTAACAAAGATAATTTCAGATGTGTATTAGGTTTCCTGCAATATGGTGAAACCATGGAATTATTACTCTATAGCATTAAGACCTAAATTTGACACTGCTGAACTATTTAATTGTGGGACAATAAAGGGATCTGGTTTGAATTTCTACTTGAAGATGAGAAAAAAAATGGACAAGTTTATATTGCAGATCATTACAAAAAAAGGTTACATATGCAAAACACAACATGTTTTTCATTTGGACAGGACACAAAGCAGGAAATCATAAATGACTATGTTTCACATGGGTTGTTAGCTGTTAATTTCATGACATGAGGCAGATATGTGTGCTTTTAACTGGGTGCATGTATGAACAATAGGGTTATTACAGTCTAAGCTATCATGAAGGGAAATAAAACAAAAACACAATTAAGTCATGCTTCCATAAAATAAATCCAGTATTCAACCTTTTATTAGTTGAAGATAAGACTAGATACATATGATAATTGGAGCCAAGTAACCTTATTAATGATTATGACACTTATGTTTGAGGTTATTATCCTATATATACACATTTTAAAATAAGCTACACATGTAAGGTAGACCTTACAGGCTTGTTTGCAATGAAGCCTACTGTAAATCAATGGGGAGCCACATAAATATGTTGCATACTTCATTAAAGCTACATCAAGGCTCATATCAAACAGAAATAAAGGCCAGAGGATGTCTAACATGTTTTGTTTCAGTCTCGTGAGTCCTCTCGGAGCTAAGCTAGCTATGTCCTACATTCGGCTAATTAGCTTCCCGGCTAACCATTAATCGGTGCCCAGTCGATTATCCGGGTGAATAGCAAGCCTGTTATTACGAAATAACTATTTTTAACTTCGAAATGCGAACAAAATTAATTTCCATGTAGACTGGGATACAGGCAACGGTTAAACGGCAGCTAGCATAAACGCGCGGAATATGAAACAAAACCAGGCTAAAATGAGGCCTACAGTTCATCCAGAGCTGCTGCTCTGTCTCAATATCGAAACGCGCCAACAACATATTTCCCTCCAAAAAAAAACAGCCTTAAATGCTAAAAGACTAAACTCTGAGACGGAATCTAATCAACCATCAGCTTTCGGCCCTGCGCTGCCGGGTTCGATGATGCGGCTGCGCCGGGGCTGAAATAAATGGAGATTGCGCGGTAGGGCACTAACCTCAGAGCGGCTGCGCTACTTCGGGCCTGCGCCGTGGATGGAGCTGGGCTTTGATGGAGGACGGAGAGAAGCCAGCACTGAACAGAGCTGCGCTCATCTAGTGATGCGTTCAGGTACCACCCCCTGAGCTTCTACATCCAACTGTCACTGTAAAGATTGAGCCAAAAACACGTATGATAATAATAATAATAATTATGATAATACTAATAATATTTCACCTTTTATCAGAAGAAGTATAATATAATATATATTTGTGTGCAAGAAAGGAAAAAATGATGCTGGACCTAAATAGTATGCATTAATACTCTAAATTTTCCTCTTTACATATTAAGAATTTTTCAGATAATTAGTTTAGGGT